GTCTCAGAAGAGGAGTTCCACCCACTCTATAGGATTGCTATCTGTCAGAACTGGCTTAACGTGAGGCAGCTTGACTTTTGATTTTTTCAGGGACTCTTGCTGGTTTACAGTTTGAGGGTTATCTCAGTGCAATCCTTTCAATGTTTCAGCCTCCCGCCACGGCTCCACGAGAAGTTGAAAATGTGCTTTTTTCCTTTGGAATCAGGATTCACGTACGGGACCTTTGATCAAAATGCTGAGTCACGGTGTCCAGGCACCATCCAGTTCTCCAGGTCTCATGGCGAAGGCAGCGGACACTCGTGAGCCAGTTAACCACAAATTCCACATTCTCCTCCAATCCCTGACTCACCTTCCTCTTTGAATGGCGGTTTGCAAGATCTCAAGGCCTCAGGCACTATGCAAGGAACTAGGAGGCAGAACTGAATCACTAAAAAAAGTTGTAATTAGGCCCATTAACTGAATGTTCCTTGAAACCATGACCTCCAAACAAAGTAACCAAACACCATGAGTTGTCCGGTGTACAGAAACAGCTTCAGAAGCAGCTCTCTTTTGGCCATCATTTCAAATAAAACTAACACACAATTTTTGCTAATTTAGCTTTAAAGGTATATAATTTATTGATAGGACTTAGTTATTGGCTGTGAAACCCAACCCTTAATCAAAGTGTATTTCCCATTACTGTTATCCCCCTTTACCCTCCTCTCCCCTGTCTCTGGTAAGCACCGATACATTTTCATTTCTATGCATTTTCCTTTTCCTATGTTTTCCATATGTGAGATCATATATTATTTGTCATTTTGTGATAGGTTAATTTCTAAAGCATAAAATGTCTTTATTTAGACTGTAGCATATATCAAGACTTCATTTCTCCTACTGGCTGAATAGTATTTCATTGTCCGTACCACAACGTACCCACCACAGTTTGTCTATCCTCTCACCCACTGATGGGCATTTAGGCTGTTTCTACCTCTGGGCAATTGTGAACCGTACTGCAATGAGCATGGTTTCTGATGGCTGACTCTTCAGCAGTAAGTCACAAGTATACCTTCTGGGGCGCCTCTGGTGGACTGGAGCCTCCAGCCCCTCATTATCGGCTGAGTATATTAACAAGGAGGTGAAATGGATGAGATTATGAACTGGTTTTCTAGATGATATAAATGAATCGTAGCGAAGGCAGGTGATTGGTCTCTTGCTAGAGATTTAGGTTAGTGGGTGGGTCTGTGAAAAACAGAACAGTTCAATGCTCTGAATACCATTTTACAGGCATACACTTGCGTACAATAAACATTGCATTTCTTAGAATATAGCTGGAGCTACTGTGTTTTTAAATATTTGTTAAAAAACCAAAACAACCACAAAAGCAAATCCCCAAATTGGTTTCACATCCAAGGATGGTATTCAGTGAATCAGCATGTCTCATCATATATGGGTGAGAATTTTACCAAGTTGGGAGCCAAATATTTCAGTACACACAATACCTGGATATTGCCAAGGGCACGGATGGTATAATAAATGACAAATCAGAAACAGGGCATGGATCTTGGGAGAGGAAAGAACTAGAACCTGGGGTCTGCAAGTGCAGCCCTGAGATCTGAATAATTCCGAAGGGCCCTCTGAAAAGTTATGCTTTGGACTTAAGCGGGTGGACGGTCACTTGACAAACTCCAACTGTGGTAAAGCTGAGAAGCAAAACAACTAGAGGAACTCTGTAGGCAGTTGAATTGTGTATGACCTATACACAAAAATGCAAGAGCAACAGGAAAGGACCGTTATAATTATCCAACCTGGAAATAATAAGAGTGCAGACCAAGGCTTTGGCCCTTAGCACAAAACAAAATTTCCAAAGTTTGAACGGATTAGTTGTTGATATGGTTCTGCTGATATCAATCATGGGCAAAGTTCCGTTGGCTGAACCCTTTTTTACAGCACAGTTCTGACCTGCCACGTGTGTCATTCTGATACACACTTTCTTCAAAAAACAAGTGCTCTATTTCAGAACATAGAATGCTTTGAAGTTATAGTCCTAGCATTGAGAAATGGATAAACAGCCCCCTGACTTTTGAATTATTATAGCTAAAATCACACTTAAAACATTAGTTTCCAGGGGAAAGATAAATATTTCTGTTATCAGAAAGTTTAAAAACAAGACTGTTTAGCATATTTTTTAATGTATCAAAGGCCAACTACGAATCACTTAAAATCTACTCATAACTCTATGTAGTTGAATGTGAATGCAATGTTGACAAATGAAATTGGCTTGCTATCTGCCAAAGGATAGTATCTAGTAAGGGATTTAAAAAAACTTAAGTTTAGGATTTTGAGAAAAAGGGCAAATCTAGATGGGAGAATGAAGGAAGTGAGATGTGTGTGTGTGTGTGTGTGTGTGTGTGTGTGTGTGTGTGAGAGAGAGAGAGAAAGAGATCTCTACACATCTCGCAGAGAAGTCATACTGATGACAAGAAGTGCACCGTCATCACAAAATCAAACTGTAACCTCCTTGAAGTTAGGGGTTCTATCATGTCCCCTTTTCCTCTCCAGAGCTTACGGCAGAGTCTGGCACAAGTGTATGATGTAAAATCAGTGCCAGACATGTAAATGATATTCACATTCTGTTTACTTTTTGACATACAGTAGAAAAACAAAAGTAAAAAGCTAGTTTGACATGAAAGGATATCACTTTAAATATAAGGACAAAGGGTATGATGAGCGTACTATGACAGATTATGGTCTCAAATCCTAACAGTAGGGAGCTGACTTAGATCTGTGAAGCAGAACAAGAAAGACAGTGCTCAAAGTTATCAGCAGAGAGAGGCTTCTGACCAAACCTGTGAATTTTTGGTTTTGATTGATTAGATTTTTCACACTAGCTAGTGAAATGGGTAAAAAAGATTTCCTTTCTCCTTGTGAATGATATACTTCAGCTGACAGTAAAACACATGAGTATTTGGCTTGGCACACAGTGAGGAAGAATTACACACTGTTAAAGCAGATCCTTGGCTCCCCAGGCGCAAAGGCATGGAAACCTCTTTGCCATAACCAAACACCTGGAGTCACTGGGCTTGGGGTCCGAGGACCACAATCTTAGGGGCATCATGACATAACCCAGTACAGAAAGACATGTTTATATTTTACTTTGCCAAGAAGTGACTGGAGCCTCAAAAGCTTGTGAGCAGTCAGCTCATGTGCAACCATTCATTTCCCCTCCAGAACCAAGACTCCAGGAAACCATTAATCCAAGGACTAAGGACCTGTTGCTGGAACTCATGTGCTTGTCTTACCAAGATGTACTCTTGGAAGACACAGGCGTCACAAGAACTTTTTTATTTAGAGGCTTCTAGCAGGAAGAAATAGGAGCCCTGGTGGCACAGTCGTCATGCACTGAGCTGCTAGTCACAAGGTCCACAGTTCAAAACCACAAGTCACTCCTTGGGAGAAAGATGAGGTTTTCTACTCCTAGAAAAGGGTATAATTTCAAAAACTCATAGGAGCAGATCCTATAGGGTTGCTATGAATTAACATCGACTCAATGGCAGGGAGTTTGAGTTCTGAACACGATGAAAACCTTACCAGCCAGCATAGTGGCATTTGGATTTACACAAGATTCTGGAGAACTTCCACTGGGGGTAGCAAGGGGTTCTGGGAAATATAGCTGAGACCAGAAGAACCTCACGATGCCCAGTTACTACTGCCACCTGCCCTGATCTAGATCACAAGAGAACAGCGGTTCTCAACCTGTGGGTCATGACCTCTTTGGGGGTCAAACGATCCTTTCATGGTGGTTGCCTGATTCATAACAGTAGCAAAATGACAGTGATTAAATAGCAACGAAAATAATTGTATGGTTGGGGAGTCACCACACCATGAGGAACTGTATTAAAGGGTCACGGCATTAGGAAGGTGGAGAACCAATGCAATAGAAGGTGCTGGACTGAGCAGGAGCAAAATGTAGAACAAAATCCAAAGTCATACAACTGTATTTACTAGTCTAATAGCGGCAGGTAGAACTCCAAGGAGACCATTGCCCTGAAATACCTTTTAATACCTTTTAAACTGAACCCATCTTCCAGTTAGCACCTTTTAGCCAAACAAACGGGCCTATAAAGTAAACAATAACATCTATGGGAACGTGCTCCATAGAAGATTCAACCAGACAAGACCACAAGGTAGCATTTACCCCAAAACACAGTTTAGAAGGCAGGAAGAGGGTGTGGTAAGTTACATAATTTGGTGTCAATTTGGAGCCTCTGTGTGGGTGTGGCCTTCTCCTGAGGATTCTGGGAATTCCTGTGTTCCTCCTTGGAGGCGGGAGACACTCTCTTCTTGCTTACACCCTGGGAGATATAACGGCTAACAAGACACATGGAGCTATGCTAGTGTCCTGCGCTGGAGAAGCCATGTGGAGACCCCTGCCAGTGCTGAGATGCTTACAACGCCACTGGATCCAGAGGACTTCCAACCCACTGGCCTGTGATCTTTCTGCATTCAGCGTCATTGCATGTGTTTTGTGAGTCAGAAGAAGGCTTTATAGATTGGTATCGGACATACAGACTAATATCAGACCTAAGGATTTGATCTGGACTGGGCTGGGATATTTTCTCATGTTCAACTGCTCTTGTATATAAAGCTCTTTCCTAGACACTTATGAGTTTCCCAGGATTTGTTTCTCTAGTCTACCCAGACTAACACAGAGGGGTGAATGGAAATGAGGAGCCCAGGCAGGAAGCAAAAAGAGTGCTGCTATGTTGAGGGGATTGCACCTAATGCCATGAAACAAAGCATGTCTAAAGTCTCAAACGTGAACGAACGTGCTCTGTAAACTTTCGGCTAAGCACCCCATGTGGAAGTTGGAGCAGGCGCTACGGCTCCCGCTCACAGGGCCTGAAGGTATCACAGAGTAGTGGCATCACATGTGAAAATGGGGCCGTTCCTATGATAAGAAATTTCCCAGTCATGCTTCCCATAAAGGAACCATCGATTTTTTTCTAGTGTTAGACTCCTACCTAAGATCCACTTTTCTGACAAATACTCGATTGGTGCTTTCTTCTTTCCTCTGTAGGGACCAATGACGATGCTGGCCTGGCGTGGGACTCGGGTGACCTGGCCTCCACTCAGGCGGACCAGTTCGCACAGCTTGGCAGTGGGTGGGCTGCTGTCTGGAGTGATGAACATGACTGGCTGCCCAGAAAAGAGGCTTCCTTGGTATTGCTCCGCTGATACATGACGCTGCAGTCGGCAGACCTATTGGGCAAAGGCAGGGGAAAGAATTATACAAGGCAGCGGACCATTTCAGTCTTCATTTAAAGTAAGTAAACGGTGAAGCTCAGCATCCTTTTAGGGGAAGGAATATACGGAATCCAAGTTTCACATTCTGAGATGAATTTTACCTTTTGAGGAAAAGAAGACAATAATAGTGTGGTAAATGATTGGCCTTTGCCATTTTCTGAAGCAGCCTACAAGGAAAACTTCAAGCAAGCAAATGTATAGATACAAATGTTTGAGTCTTTGAGTTAATATAAATTCTGGAACAAAATATCAGACAGTAATAGAATGGTCAATTAAGTGGAGAGAACCGCATCTACATTCAGTAAATTCTCGCTAAGTCAATTGGATGACTCGTGCTAGTGAGAGCGAGGCTGGGCTCTTGGCAGGACATACATTTTACATGGATCTAAGGAAAGCTATAAATGTAGCACTTGCAGTTTATATGAATAAAGGGAGAATTAGGCAATACAAAAGCAGACTTCTACAATCTGGAGGAGAAAACAACGGGACTGACAGTTCCGGGGGGACATGGGAGAGAAGGAGGGGGGAAGGGAAGAGGTGTTAACAAGCCCAGGGACAAGGGAACAACAAGCGATCCAAATTGGTGGGGTGGTGGGTGTGGGAGACCTGGTAGGGCAGGATCAAGGGGAATGTAACAAACAGGAAGTGCTGAAATCCTGGTGGGGACTGAGCATGATAGTGGGACAGGAGGAGAATCAAGGGAAATAGAGGAAAGAGCTGGGAGGCAAAGGGCATTTATAGAGCTCTAGATAAAGTCATGTACATATGCAAATATATTATATGAGGATGGGGAAATAGATCTATGAGCCTACATTTATAAGTTTAGTATTAAGTTAGCAGAAGGACATTGGGCCTCCACTCAAGTACTCCCTCAACACAAGAATACTTTCTTCTAGTAAATTGGCATTCCATGATGCTCACCTTCCTGACACAATCACTGAAGACAAAGCTGGTGCATAAGCAAATGTAGTAAAGAAAAGAAAGCTGATGGAGCCCAGCTATCAAAAGATATTGCGTCTAGGGTCTTAAATACTTGAAGTAAACAAGCGGCCATCTAGCTCAGAAGCAACAAAGGCCACATGGAAGAAGAACACCAACCTGTGTGATCACGAGGTGCTGAGGGGATCAGTTATCAGCATCAAAGAACAAAAAATCATATTGTGTGCACACCTCCCTGATATGATTGCTGAAGACTAATGGGTGTATAAGCAAATGTGGTGAAGAAAGCTGATAGTACCCAGCTATTAAAAGATATAGCACCTGGGGTCTTAAAGGCTTGAAGGTAAACAAGTGGCCATCTAGCTGAGAAGCAAGAAAGCCCACGTGGAAGAAGCATACCAGCATGTGTGATCACGAGGTGTCGAAGGGTTGAGGTATCAGGCATCAAAGAACAAAAAATCATATCATTGTGAATGAGGGGGAATGCAGAGTGGGGACCCAAACCTATCTGTAGGCAACTGGACATCCCCTTACAGAAGGGTAACGGGGAGGAGAGGAGCCAGTCAGGGTGTAGGATAGTAATGATGAAACATACAACTTTCCTCTAGTTCCTAAATGCTCCCTCCGCCCCCCTACTATCATAATTCCAATTCCACCTTACAAATCTGGCCAGACCAGAGGATGTACATTGGTACAGATAGTAACTGGAAACACAGGGCATCCAGGACAGATGATCCCTTCAGGACCAGTGCTGAGAGTGGCGATACTGGAAGGATGGAGGGAGGGTAGGGTGGAAAGGGGGAACCAATAACAAGGATCTACATATAACCTCCGCCCTGGGGGAAGGACAACAGAACAGTGGGTGAATGGAAACATTGGGCAGTGTAAGACATGACAAAATAATAGTTTATTAATTATGAAGGGTTCATGAGGGAGGAACAGGGAGGGAGGGGGAAAAATGAGGAGCTGATGCCAGGGGCTTAAGTGGAGAACAAATGTTTTGAGAATGATGAGGGTAATGAATGTGCTTTACATTCGTGTGGGTTGTGATAAGAGTTGTATGAGCCCCCAATTAAAAAAAAAAAAAAGATGGGGTTCCATACTAGCCTAAGAGGCTAAGTCATGATAAGTTCATGCTCAACCTGAATGATTTATGCCTGAGCTGTGACCCCATCCTGGCCAATGAGACTTGAAGGTAAGTCTGCAGGTGGATCTGGAGAGTTTTCTTCTCCGCTAACATCAACAGATACATAAGCAAAAGCCAAAGCCTGTCTTCTTTAGCGGTCATGGCCACATCTGCATCCACGTCTTCCCGTGACGCCTGGAATGCCTGAAGAGGTCGACACTGTATGGGGAGCAGACATGAAGGGCTGAAATGGCCGAGGGGACCATGAAAATACGTGGATCCTTCCCAACAGTGCTGAGTGACAAGACTGACTGTCACCTGGGGCTTGCTGTTCTTTAACACTTTTTAGGTGAAAAACATTAATTCCTTAAGCTACTTTTAAATACTAAGCTTTTGGGTTTAAGGTTGCCCAAAGCACCCAAAAGATAGGGTTCTCATGCTGCTGCCATTTTTCTACGGTAGCCACGGTAAGCTCTGCATTTTTCTAAGTTCTGTAGCAAATGCACATACACACATGTTGATGTTGTGGTTTTCTCTTTAAGAAAATGAGATATTGCTTTAAGATAAACAGCAAATCGAGCATGTTTTTAATAAGATTGGAAATGTAAACCTTTAATTGGGTAGTAAGCCTTTCAAGTATAGCCTTTAATCAGGTAGTAAACCTTTCAAATATTTAGAATGTGACTTTAGTAGCTCATTTCATGGCTTCTTCTGGTTCGTCCCTGTAGTTCTCTGGAACTTGCTCTGCATACAAGGTGCTGGAAAGCAACAATGATTAAAACATAGTTCTTAGCCTCCATTTAAAATGCATGATCCAAAAGTCAGCAAATAAAAATGCTTCATTTATTTATCCAGAGGAGGCCAACTATTACAGATATCTGATTCTTCCTTCAAAACAATTGAGATTCCTGGTGTACTGGCTTTCTAAGTCTAAGTAAAATAATTTCTGGGAAAGTTTCATCAAAACTTAGATTATTTAAAATTAAAAAGTAATTCAGGAATTCATCCTACAAATATACTTTCAGATGTATATAAGGACATACATATACAAGGAGTTCATTGCCATAGAAACTATGATGATTGGCAAGTTTGATTTATACTGAGTACAGTAGGACACATGCTCCTGCTTGTTAGAGTTTCAGGTAAGCTCATTATGGTCTTAAGACTGAGATGCCCATACAGCATTCTCTGAGACTGGACCAAACCAAAGCTCTAACTCAAAGAGACCCTATTGGACAGAGAAGAACTGCCCCTGTGGCTTTCTGAGACTGTAATGCTTTCTGACAACACTTAATATTCATCCTAATGCCACTAGCATTTCCCACTGCAGATACTTGGTGACTGATGAAACCCCCCTAAAAACACAAGTATGAGGGCAGCGTTACCCTTTGAGAACACGCTTTGATTTGGAAGGCAAGTGTCCTAAAATTGTTTTGCTACTGATACCGTAAGACATGATACCTGGGCAATTCAACTTTCCAGAAAAATGTCAAAGGTATATTTGTGAAAGATAAGTTAAAAAATAACAAAACCTGAAAACAACACGAGGTTAATAGAGCAGTTAACTGAGACGTGCCAGATGGGCACTCTTTATTCCATCACTAGATCCAGCTCCAAAGGGCCCAATTCTTGGAAATCAAGGATAAAAATTTCTAGTACAGTTTTAAAGGCAACTTGCTATTAATTATTTCATTGCCTTCTCAATTCCTTGTGTTATTTGAGTTCAAGTTAATGTTCTCTAAATTCTAATTTCATTTAAAAAATCATTTTATTGGGGGCTTGTACAACTCTTATCACAATCTCTAATTTCATTTTAAACACACACATACTCTTAAAGCTGCTAACTGCCAGTAAAAGGAGTCTGGTTGGGGCATGGAGGTAGGACAGGATGGTATTCATGGGGTGATACTCCACTGCCAGCAAACCAATTCTGACTCACAGTGACTGCAGTTTCTGAGACTGTAAATATTTACGAGAGCAGAAAGCCTTGTCTTTCTCCTTTGGAGAGAGGCCAGTGGGTTTGAGCTACCAAGCATGAAGTGAGTAGCCCAATTCCTTGTCCACATTGCCACCAGAGATTCTCAGTGGGGTGATAGTGACAGATTAATTGTTTCATTAATGAGGACCTCAGAGATAATCAGCTTCATCTATTTTTACCTCAGATATACTAGCTTGACAATGCTAAAAGGTAATCCCTCAAAGTTATAATAATTATTCTAGTTATTCAGATATTAAAAGAACACTAAACATATATTGATTTTATTTATAACTTATTATTAATGAAGAAACCCCCAGTGGCACAATGATCAAGCACTTGGCTGCTCACCTGGAAGGTTGGCAATTTGGTCCCACCTACCTCCTTGGTAGAAGCCCTGGTGGCAGAGTGCTTACACATTGGGCTGCAAACTCCACAGTCAACAGTTTAAATTTTCCAACTGCTCCACAGGAGAAAGATGAAGCCTCACTCACTGACCCAAGGGGAGGGTGTTGTTTATATCTCCACAGGAGAAGGACAGAGAGACCAGGCTTCTATCTGATGCGCCAAGACATGAATACAACACACCAGCATGTATCAGGGAACCAATACAGAGGTCCAAGGGGCCAGCCCCAATCCCAACCATGTGGACACCCTCGTACCTCCCCCACCCCCGCTTCAGAAGAATGCACTTCAGAGGACAGCACTGGGGCTACAGCTTGGATAGAGAGGCACATCACAATAGAGCACACGGGAGAAACGAAAAGGGATGGAGAGGGAGGAGGAGAGGACATCCTGGACCACCAAGCCCCAAGGACAATGTTCCTGCTCAGAGCAGACAACACATGGGGAGGACCGTAGGGCCCACCACGGGACCTGGCATCCCTCAATGAACCATGGTGCTGCGGGGGACAA